TTTTGGTTTCTTAGAATCTATTCTGTTCTTGTTCCTCCCACCTTTTTAATTTCTCTAGGACTTTATTCCTCATCTTTTTCTTCCTGTTACTTGAATAAAAATTTTCCCTAAGTTTCTGTGCTGTGTCTTCTTTCTTTTCTGTGTTTTGTTTTGTTTTTTTCAGTCTCTTTTTGCCATTTGTTACCCTTGGTCAGTTGATGACTCCTAAGCCACACATCTAGGCTGTGAGCTTGCAGTTTGGTTTGTTGATGAATATTCTACTTGATGCTCCACTGGCATCTCAAATTTGACGTATCCCAAATGTATCTCATTTTTCTAACCCAACCTGCTCTTTCTTTGTTTCTGTTTACATTAATACAGAATTTTCTAACTTCACTCCACACAACTGATTGTTGCATTTGGCTAATTCTTCCTGTTTAGTATAATTTGAATGCTTCCTCCACTGCTACCACCCCAGGTTTTCTTTCATCACTTTTTGGAAGGAAGAAAAAAATGACCAACAAAGTTATCCAGGAAATTTGTTTTCCTGGATGAAAATCTTAAAATTTCCAAACTGGATTTTTAGATCCTACTGTCTTCTATTTAAAAGCATGTGTGTTTGTTTTTGTTTTGCCTACGTCTGGGTAGGGCTTTTGGCTTTTATAACAGAGATGTTCTGATTTCTGGTCATGCTAAAACAATAAATTATGAGAACTGAAAAAATATATCTACATATACTGCCAAATATAAATTTGAAATTTGATAATCTTTAATATGGTAACTATAGAGTAAATTGCTGTTACTTATCCTTCAACAAATGATCCTAAAACACCTGTACTCACTTTTTAGGGAATTCTGGATATTGCTGCCTTAGTTGTACTAATTAAGAAGTTCTCTTTGGAGAGATGACATCTCCATCAAATTGTATAGATCATTGTTTACATGTTCTCTACACAGAGCTTTAGAAATATAGCCACTTTAAATCTAGTGAAGTCTGTTAAGGAAGTTTTTTACTGCATTTTATGAACATTTTTACAAATGAAAAGTATTACCTATTTGGAATATTAATATACCTACCTATATAGCTTCTGATATCAAGCATGTAAACCACTATACAAGTTTGAGTAGGTTTAGTCTGTAGTGCTGGTAACTGATGTATCTGAAACTATAAAGAAGGAAGGTTTGTTTTCATATTTATAAAGCAGCTACTGTTTCTCTAAAATCCCCCAAAGTCATTGTGTCTTTGTATTTTGGCCAAGATCTGTCATAGGGTTTCCTGTTACCCTACTCTTGGAAATAAATGTGAGTTGTTTTCAGATGAGAACATTTAAGTGACTGCAAATCCTTTCCATCACTAAATTCTGAAGTGGTAGGGAAGAGGCCATGTGAGTAAAGTTTTCACCTGGGTGTTTGCCTCACTCTTTTGATTTGTTTAGGAAGGATGTTCATTATGTAAGTTGTCATCTTATTCTCTTTTATAATAAATAATTTTGTATTTTCATTTTTATTCTTCCTCCTAACCCCTTAAACACAGATGTTTGCATCTCTAAATTTTTTTTAATTTAAATTTTAGTTAACATACAGTGTAATATTGGTTTCAGAAGTAGAATTCATCACTTATATATAACACCCAGTGTGCATCTCTAAAATTTTAAGAATTAAGATTTGGATTGCAGGTATGTTTCTTACATGCTTATTTTGAAATTCTTTCTTTTTTTTTTTTTTTGTAGTGGAAGGAACAAGCAATGATGCCCTCCAGCTTTTTGTTGATGCTGGGGTTCCTGTGAATTCAGACATGATTAGCCATTTTGTGAACGAAGCTCTTGCTGAGACCATTGCTGTCATGCTGGGTGATAGAGAAGCAAAAAAGCAAGGGCCTGCTGCCCCAAGTGTTTCTGGAGATGTTTCAACAAGCAACACATACTTGCCGGTAGGAGTGACTTTCCTTTCATGACTTGGAGTCCTAGGGAATTTTTGATACGTCTCTTAAAAACCAGTAAGATGGGAGTGCCCGTGTGGCTCAGTCGGTTAAGGATCTTGACTCTTGATTTCAGCTTAGGTTGTGATCTCATGGTTCGTGACTTCGAGCCCTGTGTTGGGCTCTGCACTGACAGCACAAAGCCTGCTTGGGATTCTCTGTCTCCCTCTTTCTCTCCCCCTCCCCTGCTTGCTCGCTCACGCTCTCTCTCTCAAAAATAAGTAAATAAATAAACATTAAAAAAAATACCGTGGACAAATTGTAAATTAGGTATTGTAATAAGATTATAGTTTGTGGTGGAGATTGATTTTTTGTTGTTGCTATGGTATTATAGTAATATTTTCCCCAGCATTTTATTTTAAAAACTTTTAAATCTATAGAAAAGTTGAAAGTATGATACAATGAAAATCTGTATACTTTCTACCTAGTAGTTACCAATTGATAACTTTTTTTTTATTTTGAGAGAAAGAGAGCAAGCAGAGGAGGGGCAGAGAAAGAGAATCCCAAGCAGGCTCTGTACTGACAGCACAGATGTGGGGCTCAAACGCACAAACCATGAGATCATGACCTGAGCTGAAATCAAGGGTTGGACGCTTAACCGACTGAGCCACCCAAGAGCTCCCAATTGATAACTTTTTGACATGTTTTATCTATCTTTATATGTTACATACTCTTTAAAAATCATTTGAAAGTTGCAGGTATCATGACACTTTACTTCTGATCATCAGCAATATCTCAAAAAGAAGATACTTTCTTACATAATCAAAATGCCATCATCATACTCCTGAAGAAATTTAACATTGATATGTTAATACTATGTAATTTAGAGTCCATATTCAAATCTCCCTATTGTTCCAAAATAACCTTTATAGGATTTTTTTTTTTTTTTGATTCAATATATAGCCAATGGTCACATGTTGCTTTTGGTTATTATATAAACTGATATTTTTAATCTTTAAAATAAAATATAGTTTATGTTCTTTTGTTGTTTGTTTCATCAGCCATACTGTGTTAGTTTCTAATCTATTATAGCAACATGGAATTATACATGTTATATATATATAGACTCTATACTACTATCAGCTGTTTAAAACTTTGTAGTCACTTCTGATTTCATAGATCATGAGGGCATCATTTTATATAGGTGAAACATTTAAACTAAGTCATTTGAGGTATAAACATGAAGTTACAGGGGCGCCTGGGCGGCTCAGTCAATTAAGTGTCTGACTCTTGATTTCGGCTCAGGTCACGATCTGTGGTTTGGGAGTTCAAGCCTTGAGTCGGGCTCTGTACTGACAGTGCAAAGCCTGCTTGGGATTCTTTCTTTCCCTCTCTCTCTGCCTCTCCCCTGCACACACACATGCACATGCTCTCTCTCTCTTAAAATAAACTTGAAAAAAACAGCATAAAGTTACATATTTGAATTTTATGGAGATGGTATAATGTAATTGATGTGATGTGATTATGCACGAGATTAGGTACATACTTTGGGTTTGCGCTTTCTTAGTTCATTGGTAATGCAAGCAGTGCAGATGTTGTTGGGTTATGGTTTTCTCTGTACTAATTACACTGGTTTGCTTTCTGCCCGTATGCTGCATATACTCTCATGAGGGTGATTGAATGAGAAAAATGTAGAAAAATCAGTATAAATAGGCAGTATGTACAGTTGTTAAGAGCATGGACTTTGGTGCTGGGAAGACCTGAATTTGAACCCTCAGCTCTGTTACTTTAGTCTCAAGTATAATAGAGAAAATGCATAGAGTTCAAATGACCAAGACTTTATCAGAAATCTTTTTACTATCTAGGAGGGCAGGCTCCCTTCCACCACTGCCATATTGTTCATTATCTTCAGAATTGTCATGGCTTTTCTTGGCCTTTTGATCTTCCAAATATACATTAAAATTTAGCTTTTAAAAGATTTTGTTGGTAATTTTATGGGAATTGATCCAGTTTTGATTGGTTTTATTTGGAGAGACTTGTATCTTTATCATACTATTATCTTTTTAGCCAAGATTTTGTGGAAGATATAGTGAGATGATGAATGAAAATAGCTTAATCTTGTGTCCAGAATTTGGTACTCAATAACTGTTTATCATCATTATCCATTACTAATACTAGTAGAATACCTTGAGATCCTCTCATGATGATGGTCAAGTGGCATTATATTTGAAAACAGTGCATTTGTTGCTGTAGTTTTATGCAGCCAAGAAGAAAAAAAAAAAACCAGTGTATTTCTTTCATTTAAAAATAAGAGTTGAGAATATGCTAATTATTAAGCAGTGCTGTAGAATTTTTAATACACTTCATGGTTTCTAAATTGTATATCAATTTTCAACTCAGAGTACAGAATAAAGGCTAATTACCCTCCTATATAAGGATGTTTTAGAACGAGGAGAAAAAGACAGTGTATTAAAAAAAATAGGTAAAAGACATGTCTAGATAGTTCACACACAGAAAAGAAATACAAATGGCCCATATACATATAAAAAGGTGGTCAATATCATTGGTAATAAGAAAAAAATCACTGAAACCTCATTTTTACTGATTAGATTGGTAAAACTCTAAAAGTTTGATAATGCCATTGTGTAGAAAACTTTGGGGAAATGGGAATTCTCATATCTTCTTGTGATTAGTGTACAATAACATAACCCTGTAGAGGGAAATTTGGCAATATGTATTCAAATAAAAAATGCAGCTAACCCTTTAAACAGCAGTCCCACTTTTAGGAAATTGTTCTGTCGATAATCTGTAGACATGATTTAAGTCAAGATTATGTTTGATGACTCAGGGGAAGGGAACTAGGTGGACAGGACATGGCTAGGAAAGGAGATTTAATACTCATTATCTTTCTTGTGTACCTTTTTGAATTCTGACCCATTTGAATGATTACACATTTAACAAATCAATTTTAAAGTGTTTACTTTTTTCTTCCCCAGTATTTCTATCTCCATATTGTCTTCATTTCAACCCCCCTACTTTTTTTTTATCCTTCCATTGCTTTTTACAGGCTGTGATCTTTTGTGCTAAAAAGCTGCTCTTGATATCTTGTCAGTTAAAATGCTTCCTTTCTGTTACATGGCCTACCCAGCTTGTGTTTGCATTTGATCTTCAGCTGTATATTCAGCTGTGTCTTCCTATCAATATTAGAAGAGCGAGCTTCTGATTTCTTTGGGGCCTACTTCAGAGTCAGAGCTATTTTAATGGCCTGAGGCTTTCTGCAGGCTAGTCTTGAAACTTAGCAGCTAGAAGAAGTTCAAGAGCCAGGGAAGTTAGGGCTCCATTTCTTCCCCTCCATTTAAATTCTGTTAATCTCTAAATGAGCTTATTGCATTGTTTTACATTACCTTTATATGGGTGATTATAAGCACCATTTGTCTTGTTTTATTTTAGGCAAGAGTGTGTACCCCAGTGCCTACCCCACAACCAACTCCTCCTCGTTCACCTTCATCACCTCCTAAGGAGAGTGTGTTGGTAAAAACTCCAGATTCTTCTCCCTATGATTCAGATCATGATTTAGCTATTCCTGTGAAAGAAATATTTGCTGAAAAAGGTAGAAACCTTATTTCTATAACTTAGTTTTAATCTAATAACTACTAAATAAGATTTCATGGTTTATTTTATGTTTTATGGATTAATATGTACATACCTACTGTTTACTAGGTTTTAGTAAATCATTTTTTCTTGTAAAGAGACAAAGAAATTGGTTTCTTAATTTCCTAGTGGTACCTGGCTGGCTCAGTCAGTACAGCATGCAACTCTTGATCTCAGGGTCGTGAGTTTGAGCCCCATGTTGGGCAAAGAAATTACTTAAAAAAAAAAAAACAAAAAACTATTAAAAAAAAAGAGTATGTGATCTAATGCACACTTATACTGCTTTTAAGTTCATGGTAGTATTAAAAGTGATATCTTTTCAAGATTGTTTTCTTATCCTTTACTAAATAAACCTGAGAATTTCCCCATTATTAGCCATTATTATTATTATTAATTATTATCACCATTATTTGTATGCCAAAATATTAAGAGATTCCTGAAACAGCGTATCTTGTTGTTTCCTATGGAGTGTTTATTGACTTTTATCTTTTCCTTTCTCTTTAAACAAAAAATCTTTAGGAAATGATATGTCTGCCATCACACTTGTTAATACTCCAACAGTTACTCCTGCTACTACACCTCCTCCTGCAGCAGCTCTTACCCCAACTTTGTCAGAGATTTCCATTGAGAAATTGAAGATCTCAGGCCCAGGGCGTCCTAAACCATGGAGTGATGGAGACCTGCCCCTGGAAGAAGAGAATCCTAACTCTCTTCAAGAAGAACTTCACCCAAGAGCTATGTAAATGATAACATATTTACTTTCAGTAACTGCATTTCATCTTAAGTTGACATATGTGACCCATTAAAAACATCAGAAATGATAAATGAAGTTTTATAAACCATAAGCTACTTTATACTTTAGTAGAAGTTTCATAAACTTCAAGTTTTTAAAAAATTCACCAAATTTATTTATACCTTCAATTATCATTTTAAAAGACCTTTTTATGAAACAGATTAAAGGTATATATTGTTATAATATTGTTAGTAAAATAGAAAATGATTTCTCCCCAGAGTGAATGAATCTTCATTTACAATGACCCAGTTAACTTTTATATCACCTTGTAAATTTGTTGTAGAGATGGTACAACTTTCAAGATGGCCTATGATTAAAGCATGAAAACAATTTTGGAAAAATAAATCTTGGTAATTACAGTAGTGCAGATTATAGAAATACTTTGCTAAAGGAGCTCTTTGAATCTGTTTTTTATATAAAAATTAATATAGGCTTTCAGTGACCTAATAAGTTCACAATATGTCTCTTTCTTCTTAGTGTAATGTCTGTGGCCAAGGATGAAGAACCTGAGAGTGTGGATTTCCCTGCTCAGCCTGCACCTCCAGAACCTCCAGTTCCTTTTATGCCACTTTCTGCTGCCACCAATGTCCCTTCCCTCATACAGATGCCAGCTTCTGATTCATCAACAACTGAGAGCAGCTTGAGTATTACTGTCACTGAAACTGAGACTTTAGATAGACCCCTCTCTGAAGGAGAGATTTTACTTAACTGTGGTCAAAAAATGGCTCCCAAGAGTAAGTTAACTTGTATCAATTGATTTCACTGGTTAGATTATGATAATTCCCAAGTAATAGTTTTCTGTGTCAAGTCTTTTTTCTTAATTTTCAAGATTAAACATGGTATAATAGAAAGAATATGGACTCTGCAAGTTAACTCTTCTGTGCCTTAACTTCAGAAAGTAAAATCTTGGTCATAAATCTCACCTTCCAGAAATAATACCACTCTTAATAGTTTGAAATATACCCTTCCAGTCTTTTTCTTTTCTATTGCATATGTAGATACCTAAATACATGTGTATGTGTATTTTTAGCTTTAAAAATAGAATCGTACTATATAAATTGTTTTTAAACTGCATTTTTTTTTAACCTAATAGTATATGGTGGACATCCTTCTATATCAACACATGTAGCTGTACCTCAGTTTTTTAGTTGTGTGTAGTCTGTTAAAACAATGCCATGGTAGTCGGCATGTAGATTGTTTTCAGTGTTTCCATATTATACAGAACTCTCTGATGACCCTTCTTACACACATACACATATGTGTGTACACTTAGTACACTTTGTACACCTATTTGATAATTTCCATAGAATACATGCCTAGAGGGACACGTTAGGTGGCTCAGTTGGTTAAGTGATGGACCGGCTCAGGTCATGATCTCATGGTTCCTGAGTTCAAGCCCCATGTTGGGCTCTGTGTTGACAGCTCAGAGCCTGGAGCCTGCTTTGGATTCTGTGCCTCCCAATCTCTCTTCACCTCCCCCGCTTGTGTGCTGTCTCCCTCTCTCTCTCAGAAATAAATAAACATTTAAAAAAAATTTTTTTTAGGGGCACCTGGGTGGCTCAGTTGGT